AAAAAGATAAATACTTACATACTCATGTGTACCTTAAGATTATATTTATCACTATTTATTTTCGTCAAACTTTCATAAAATCTTTTATTAAGTTTTCCAAATCACAAAGACTTCTTTTTTCTTTTTTTCTTTCTTTCTACCTTCAAGACAGCTTAAATGAAAGATGTCTTAAGAATCGTCTTGTTTATTATTTTTTTTTTTGTTAGTTACAAAGAATGGCTGAGGCCAGGTCTGTTTTCTCCCTATTTCCTCGTTAATCATTTTCGACAACTTTTAGAATGATTAACGATAATAAGATTATCAGAAGAAAGAACTACATTGTGTTGCTGAAAATATGATGTTCCAATGAGTTTGCAGAAAATTGGAAAACAAATTTTCCAAATTACTTTTTAAGATCGTGGATATAAGGATTGTACTGTTGCTATATTTTCATTAAAAGTTTTATAAGTTTTGCCATTGATACTAGATAGAAGGAGGCGAATCGGCATATCCAAAATAAAAACAAATACTAAACTTTTTTTATTTAATTATATCATTATACACTATAATTACCAATCAGGAGTTCTCAAAAGCCACAAAACTGTTTTGTGAGACTAATTGTAGTGTCATGCCTATTTTTTAGTAAAGGTGTTATAATACCTAAGACTGTTTTTCGTGACATTCTAAAATGCTCTTGGATCCTGCTGCGAATTATACTGAAATACCACATTTTTCGTATAAGTAGGTACTTATTCTAATAGAAGTCTCTTTAGTACGAATACGAAATAACAGATTTTCCTCTTCGTCCTCTTCAAAAAAATTATTTTGCATACTATATAGTAGAATTAAATTATAACCAGAACGAACTAAAAAAAATAATATACATACCAAAAAGGTGTTTTTCTATCATTTAGAAATTTGTTCTGTATAGTAGTTTTAGTTATAGTCATACTTTTGTTTTAATGAACTATTAATAATAAATGTGTTTTTAGTTATACTTAAAGATATCGTTTTAAAATTTTATTCCCTTGATATATTTTTATTTTCCTTAAATTTTGAGGAAAATTTTTTATTCAATTTTAATTCAAATTTTATATAGGTAAGCGTTTTTAGATACATCTTTACTTTAGTCTTTTTCTGGTTTTTAAGGAAACTTACATAGTTGCAAATTGGAAATATAAATCTTTTACAAGCATTTAAAATGGATCAATACATCAGAGATTTTGAATATCATACAGTGCCTACCTATAGCATAGAAACAACTGATGAATGAATACAGATTTTAAGTATCAATGAAAAAAATAATAAAATTCAAATTTTACACATGAACATTCGGAGTATAAACAAAAATATAGATGAGTTCATGATTATGTTACGAAATCTTCGACCAATAGTAGATTGTATAATTTTGAGTGAAACCAGAGAAGTACATGACACAAGTCTTTTCGCAATACCCGGATATGATATCTTATATAACGAGAGTTATTTCAATCAAAACGATGGAGTTGTTGCTTATGTACGATCGTCTCTAAAATATGTGTTTGAAAGTGTACCTATTTACAATACAAACGCTTTAATAATTAAAATAAATTTAGACAATGAGAACTCAGTAAGGTTAATTACATTTTACAGATCTCCAAACTCGGACACAGCTGAGTTCAATATACAATTAAATGAATTTCTTGAAAAGCATGATAATGAAAAAGAAAATTATAATATTATGATAGGAGACATGAACATCGATCTGCTACAACCGAAGAATAACAATACAACTGATTTTTTTAAATATTTTGAATGAATATGGTTACATATCAACCATAAATGAACCAACCAGAGTACAAAGTAAGAGTAAGTCTTGTCTAGATCATATATTCCTTAAAACTAATATCAACAATTTTAATAATATTATACCAATCGTCCTGAAAACAACTATAACAGATCATTACACAACAATTCTTCAAATAGTAAGGGGTAAAGTACAAAATAAACAAACAATTAGTCCAAGATTCACAAACATTATAAATACTTCCAAGCTACACTTTAAATTTCAAAATATCTGCTGGGACTCCATTTATAAACAACATCCAGAAGCTGCAATAAATGAGCTAATTAAAACTATTTCAAATAATACTGAAGCTTGTACAGAGAAAAAACAACTGTTAAGAAAAAAATATAAAATAACGCCTTGAATTACTAACTCCCTGCTTAACTCAATTAATAAAAAAAAACAAAATGCATGTTGATCTACAAAAAAATCCCGGCAATCTCGATTTAAAAAATAATCATAAAAAATATAGAAATAAAGTAATGTTTTAATAAAAAAAGCAAAATTTGAATATTATCAAGAACAAATTAATGTAAATAAAAATAGTTGCAAAAATCTGTGGAAAGTTGTACAGCAAATAAGCAATACAAAAAAAAAACAGCCTATTGGCAATATAATGCATACAGATACAAATGAACTCTTGGTGGAAAAATTGGATTATTATTATTATTATTATTATTATTATTATTATTATTATTATTATTAATTATTATTATTATTATTATTATTATTATTATTATTATTATTATTATTATTATTATTATTATTATTATTATTATTATTATTATTATTATTATTATTATTATTATTATTATTATTATTATTATTATTATTATTATTATTATTATTATTATTATTATTATTATTATTATTATTATTATTATTATTATTATTATTATTATTATTATTATTATTATTATTATTATTATTATTATTATTATTATTATTATTATTATTATTATTATTATTATTATTATTATTATTATTATTATTATTATTATTATTATTATTATTATTATTATTATTATTATTATTATTATTATTATTATTATTATTATTATTATTATTATTATTATTATTATTATTATTATTATTATTATTATTATTATTATTATTATTATTATTATTATTATTATTATTATTATTATTATTATTATTATTATTATTATTATTATTATTATTATTATTATTATTATTATTATTATTATTATTATTATTATTATTATTATTATTATTATTATTATTATTATTATTATTATTATTATTATTATTATTATTATTATTATTATTATTATTATTATTATTATTATTATTATTATTATTATTATTATTATTATTATTATTATTATTATTATTATTATTATTATTATTATTATTATTATTATTATTATTATTATTATTATTATTATTATTATTATTATTATTATTATTATTATTATTATTATTATTATTATTATTATTATTATTATTATTATTATTATTATTATTATTATTATTATTATTATTATTATTATTATTATTATTATTATTATTATTATTATTATTATTATTATTATTATTATTATTATTATTATTATTATTATTATTATTATTATTATTATTATTATTATTATTATTATTATTATTATTATTATTATTATTATTATTATTATTATTATTATTATTATTATTATTATTATTATTATTATTATTATTATTATTATTATTATTATTATTATTATTATTATTATTATTATTATTATTATTATTATTATTATTATTATTATTATTATTATTATTATTATTATTATTATTATTATTATTATTATTATTATTATTATTATTATTATTATTATTATTATTATTATTATTATTATTATTATTATTATTATTATTATTATTATTATTATTATTATTATTATTATTATTATTATTATTATTATTATTATTATTATTATTATTATTATTATTATTATTATTATTATTATTATTATTATTATTATTATTATTATTATTATTATTATTATTATTATTATTATTATTATTATTATTATTATTATTATTATTATTATTATTATTATTATTATTATTATTATTATTATTATTATTATTATTATTATTATTATTATTATTATTATTATTATTATTATTATTATTATTATTATTATTATTATTATTATTATTATTATTATTATTATTATTATTATTATTATTATTATTATTATTATTATTATTATTATTATTATTATTATTATTATTATTATTATTATTATTATTATTATTATTATTATTATTATTATTATTATTATTATTATTATTATTATTATTATTATTATTATTATTATTATTATTATTATTATTATTATTATTATTATTATTATTATTATTATTATTATTATTATTATTATTATTATTATTATTATTATTATTATTATTATTATTATTATTATTATTATTATTATTATTATTATTATTATTATTATTATTATTATTATTATTATTATTATTATTATTATTATTATTATTATTATTATTATTATTATTATTATTATTATTATTATTATTATTATTATTATTATTATTATTATTATTATTATTATTATTATTATTATTATTATTATTATTATTATTATTATTATTATTATTATTATTATTATTATTATTATTATTATTATTATTATTATTATTATTATTATTATTATTATTATTATTATTATTATTATTATTATTATTATCATTATTATTATTAAAACTGAAATAGCATTATTATTCGTATTAAACTAAAAACGTTTTTCAATTTATAAATGTAAATTAATTTTTAAATTTAAATAAATAAGCGTCGTAAAAACTGTCAGTGTCAAACGTCAAGTATCCCTACTGTTCCTAAATAAAAATTTACTCTTTTACGCTCCAAGTAAAAGAGACAATTAGTCTTACATACTCCATACCCTTACTTCTTGTATATACGCTAGTTCGGTGTGATGTCATTTTGGTTCCACTGACATTTAATTCTAACCAAACTTTTAAGAAAAACATCAATCAATTTGACATATTTGTTTTTACTATTTTTGGTTTATTTCTAAATATTGTTTACAGGTCATAATAAATAGTTTAAAGGTATGTAATTGGTAACTAAACGATTGTATATTTGATGCATGTTATCTACTTAATTTAGGAATATATTTATAAAAGTGAAAAAAACGATATAATTTACGTAAACAGAACGAACAAAACGCACTCAAAAAATCTACTGTCACTTTAATTGTCAGTAGAACCATAATTACATGACATAATCTGTCATTTAATGAAAATATCGATAGAACCGTCAACGTTATCAATTCCTAAATCTCAAAATGGAAGAAGGATGCTTTTATTGCAAATGTTTCATTAAAGATAACGATAAGGTCAAAAAGGAATCGTCAGTATCAGATATACCAGGATGTAAGGATCACTTGCACAACTGGGAAAGATGGTTAAAAGAAAGAAAACACATTAACCAATCGTTATCCAAACGATTAAATCGTCCAAAGGACCATCTCTTGATGAACGCTACAGAAGAGGAGAGAAAGATTATGGAAGAAAAAATACTCTTCGTGAACGATAAGAACTACGCTTATTTTGACAAATACCGGGGAAATCCAGAATGGTTTAAGTTGAGACCAAGGTTGTTCCAGCGTTGCAGAAATGATCCAATCATTGAAGCTGTCGTGTTAAAAGGCGAAAAGCGAGAGGTCGTACCTATTGTATACGTTGAAACGCCCACTCGTATACTCAAAGAAAAAGATATTTTACCAAGAACAAGGTAAGCTAAATATCATTTTAAATAATTAACAATATTAAGGAAACAACATCGATTTGTTTTTCTGATTAAGTACTATCTTTAGCTTCTATAAAATAAACAGTAAAATATATATTTTTTGTAGGAATTTTTTAGCGCGCTGGCAAAAAGGAACTTATAGGCAAGCAGTTTTTAAAAGAATAAGAAAAAATATGAAATTTTTGGAACCGCACAGACCCAATCTTTCAGAATTAATCGTAACAGGGCACAAAGTAGGAGGCCCTAAAGAAAAAATCACTGGACCGTGTCCAGGTGGTCCTTGTAAAGCATCTGATTCTTGCATTAAGAAGAATTGCTATCCACCCTTACCTGCTATCCAACTTCCAAATATATTTTGCAATACCTGCGATAGCGTATCTATCACTGTAAATTCACTTCCCACTACTAGTTTAATAATTAATGGTATCGAGATCACTCCTGCTATAATAGAAAAAGGTAAAAGATATTTTTTCTTATCCTTAATTTATACAGTGTGATTCATAACTATTGGGACATAGCCTAAGGTATTTGAAGCCAAATATGGCAATAGGACCAAATATACATACCTCAATAAAATATTATTGTGAAATAAGATACAGGGCGTTAAAGTTGAATTTTTTTTCTAATAATGTCATTGTATATTTATAATTTGTTATTAAAATCGGCACAGAGGCATATCTTTGGACAATAAATATTATTTCCCATTTTGTTATAGGCGGCGCCACGTGAATGATTCCTGATAATGAATTTAAGTGACGAAACTTTTTAATGTTTTTGATTAGAACATATGATGTAAACATAATTTCTAAGTAATTTCGGTACTTTTGTTTAAACCCGATAGTTTGGCCTGTTTTCGAGAAAAACGCAATTTAACAGTTTGGGATTTCAAAAAAATATTTCATTTATGAAAAGTGTGCTTTGCAGTGTCAGATAATTGTGTCTGGTATATATATGTCATTAAAGTCTATTTTTTTTTGTGGGTCATCAGCTTCAACTGCTAAGGTTATTTCGCCTCGTATTATGTGTATGCTTTGTTACTGTTTCCCAGCGCCACTTTAGGAACAGCACTATTAATTAGAACCCAACAGTGAATGGTCGAGTGGGGAATCCTACCAAGGCATCAGAATTAATTTTAAATAATTAAATTAAATGAAAAAATCCAGGCCAACAGTGGGATTCGATCCTGAGACCTTCCGATCTCAAAGTCATGACTCTAACCACTGAGCCAACCCACCCCTCATTAAAGTCTATTATTATTATTGTTAATATTTATATCTTATTCCACAGTAATATTTTATTAAGCTATATTTGGACCTATAGTCATATTTTAGTTCAAATAACCTGCCCTTAGCCATTGTCCCAATAGTTAGAAATCACCCTGTATATAAAGAATTGATAAAATTTTAAAAACTGGTAATATAATTATAAAGAAAATTATAGACAGATCCATAGAGATAATTATAGAGAAAACAATTATTATAGTTTCTAATTATCTCTTAATAATTGTTTCTATATTTATTAAGAGAATTAGTGGTATATGAGAAATATAGAGAAAATTAAAAAGAGAATTATAGAGAGAAATATAGAGAGAATGAAAGAGAGAATTATAGAGAAATTTATAGAAAGAGGGAATTATAGAGAGAATTAAAGAGATAATTATAAAGAGAATTATAGAGATATTTATAGAGATAATTGTAGAAATAATTGTAGAGATAATTGTAGAGATAATTGTAGAGATAATTGTAGAGATAATTACAAAGAGAATTATAAAGAGAATTATAAAGAGAATTATAAAAAGAATTATAAAGAGATAATTATAAAGAGAATTATAAAGAGAATTATAAAAAGAATTATAAAGAGATAATTATAGAGAGGATTATAGAGAGGAAAAAAGATAATTATAAAGAAATTTATAGAAAGACAAAGATTTATAAAGGGAATTATAAAGAAAATTATAGAGATAGTTATAGAGATAATTATAGAGAGCGTTATAGAGAAAATTATAGGGATAATTATAGAGATAATTATAGAGATAATTATAGAGATAATTAAAGAGATAATTATAGAGATAATTATAGAGATAATTATAGAGATAATTATAGAGATAATTATAGAGATAATTATAGAGATAATTATAGAGATAATTATAGAGATAATTATAGAGATAATTATAGAGATAATTATAGAGATAATTATAGAGATAATTATAGAGATAATTATAGAGATAATTATAGAGAAAATTATAGAGAGATATATAAAGAGAAATATAAAGAGAGATATATAGAGAAATATAGAAGGAGATATACAGAGAAATATAGAGAGAAATAAATACAGATAGAAATATAGAGATAAATATAGAAAGAATTATAGAGAGACAGAAATAATTAATCCTTACGCTTCAGGCCGTCACAATTATGTGGGTCCTACTTATGTTTCATAAAGCATAAAATAATATTTTGCTGTGTTTGCTACCAATCCAGCATGATTGTGAAGGTCTATCATCACTGTACGGCCGTCCGTATTTGTTTTGGCTTTTTTCGTCAGAAGACAAAGTACTACGTGTTAGAAAAGTTGGAATTGTTTAGTTTTCGACTTATAATGGTAAATCAAGGTAGGTAGTAATTAATTTAATTTATTTCTTCATTATTTTTTAAAAAGATAACTTAAAAAAAATTATTTCTTATTGTGTAATTCAAACATGTCACATTAGAATTAATTTTATAATTAAAACCTCATATTTTTCATGGTAGTCACAAATGTGAGGGTTGGGAATGAATGAGGTAACATTTGTTAAATTGATAAAAAATAAATCTCACTTTATTTTTAGCAAAAAAAAAAAACGTATTTACTTGTATATTCTCAGAGATAATCCTGATGCTGTCTTTGAATTATTAGATGAGATTGGTTCAGATTTTGAATACGACAGCAATGAAGATAATACATGGGAACATGTTTAAGATATACAGTCTGATTCTTCATCTGATGATTAAAATGATGAAAAACAATTAGAGCCCTGTACAATTCCTTCAAACAAAAGGCAAAAGATGGTAAAAAAAGCGAAGTTTAAAAGTAAAGATGGTCTATGTAGTGTATAACACTCCAAATGAAATCTTGACGCCCTGGGGTTACTTTAGTCGTTATTTATCTAGTGACTTTTTTGAACTTGGTTCCAAATGCACTGCTCAATATTTTATTCAACAGAGCGTAAAATGAGCTGAAAAAAAAAAGGTTACTCCTGAAGAAATAAAAATTGTTTTGGTATTCACGTATATGACTAAAAAAATGTAATATCTGATAGTAGAATTTAGGGGTTTAGACGATATGTAGAGCTTTTTATGAAGAATACATTTTTTGCATTAAACTAATAATAAAAAAAGTTTCCCAAATGTAGACGACTTAATTAGACACACTGTATATTTAAGGGTCTTAAAGTTATAATATTAGAGATAATTAAAATATTACAAGAATAATAACCAAATAATAATATGAATAATAAATAATAATAACACTGTACAAACATTTGTAATTGTTTAGTCAGCTCTTTATTAAATCAATAATATGCTAGATAACCTTTTCTTACAATAGTCTTAGAAATACTTTTTCTAAGCACATGCCTGCCGTCTTATGTGGGAAAAGTGGATATTTTTAGATTTTTTGTCAGCTCTTTGTTAAATTATGTATAATTAATAATATGGTATCATGTTCGATGCTCAAACCTTTTGTTATTTAGTCTTAGAATCACTTTTTCTAAGCATATTTCAAACGGCTTGCATGAACAAATAGTGACAATTTGCATACAATTTTCCTGCAACTTTTCGATGTTCTGAAAATGTGAAGGTCACGCTCTACACTCAATCCATCATTTTTTATGAACTCCTAAATTGTTTCTTTTGCAGTTAATTTCGTTGATGGGAAAATATCTGAAAAATCGAAGAAATTACATCAATTTTTCATGCCCCAAAATGTACATATCCATAAATATAATCGTTGGCGATATAAATATTAATATCTTGGAAGAAACTGATGTAAATCAAGAGTATTTAAATATTTTGAATGAACATGGATACTTATCAAAAAGTTTAATTCACCCACGAGAATACAGGGTAGTAGTAAAACCTGCCTGGATCATTTTCATGTTAATACAAGCGAATTCTTAGAAAATATAGTACTCATAATACTCTGGTCCTCAATTACTGATCACTTCTCTCAAATTTTTCAGTACCAGTATCCATCAAATCTGAAAGATTCAAGTCAAAACAAATATCATAAAGTAATATGTGATTACAATTCATTACATAAAATATTATCACAGGAAAATTAAGTAGATATTTATTCTTCCATAGATGTTAAAATAAAAGATATTTTTATTACTAAATTAAAATATTATATAAACTCAAGCAGCCGGGTAATAAAGATCAACCGTTCTCATTTTAAACGTAATCTTTGGATTATACATGGTTTAGTAACACTTATTAATATTAAGAATTCTTTATACAGTGAGCACCATAAGTCTTACCCCCCCTATCTAACTCATTACTGGAGTCTTGTTAGGAAAATCGCCGAGACACGTCGATTTGTGTTTTCTACAATGTACATTTTTGTATGAATAGTTTACCCTTAATTTTATCCCTTACTGGAGGGGTGCAACCCTTTCGAAAAATTTAAATGGCATGGGGTGGAGAGTGATAGCTCATTTGAAAGAGAGTTTTATTCTCTATTCAACCGTGTAAAAAATTTTGAAATTTGCTTCATTAATTCTCGACTAATTGTTGTTTCAGAATAACGGAAATTAATGTAGCGCACTCATCCTTAGAATTAAAATTTGGCCTTGCATGATTTCGGTTTTGGTTCAGACGTGAAGTAAGACTTTTTGCCATTAGAAGATCACTGTTAGTTTAGTTGCTTTCCTATTTCGTGAGGTTTTGTTATTTTTAAACATTAATAAATCAACACGTAATGAAGCTAATTTTAAATTTTTTTGCACAATTGAATAGAGAATAAAACCCCCTTTCAAATGAGCTATCATTCACCACCCCATGTCATTTAAATTTTTCAAAAGGGTTGCTCCCCTCCAGTAAGGGATGAAATTAAGGGTAAACTAATCATACAAAAATGTACATTGTAGAAATCAAAAATCGACCTGTCTCGGCAATTTTCCTAAAAAGACTCCAGTAATGAGTTAGATAGGGGGGGGTAAGACTTATGGTGCTCACTGTATAAAACAGTTAAACAATAGCCACACAATACAAAAGCCTAAAAAGAATTTAAAACATACAGAAACCAACTAAATGATCTAATAAAAACTGCCAAAAATTAGTAAAAATAAGAATTCTTTAAAACATATGTGGCAAGTTGTAAAAAATATTCAAAATCATGGTAAAACACAGGAGATATGTTAAATAAATCAGAACCACATAAATATAACAAAACAGAAATTGCAAATCGAAAGTTCAAAGACAGTACCTCGTAAGTTTCAAGAAGCTTATTTTACAGGATGAACAAAAAACTGTTTAGAATTTGATAAGATAGTTTTTTTTAATCTTTCAAATCTATTGTATTGTAAACTTCTTGATTTTAGAAGTAAAAGATAAAAGGCACAAAGCTAAATTTAAAAAAAAAATAGAAACACTTACGAGGTAATGTCTAATGATAATACACCACAATTATTTTGAGACAAGTGCGTTCGTTTCTAAAATTATGTATTTATTTGATAACAAATTTATTTAAAACTTCTTACTTGAAAAATACAGGAAAATAAAAAAAATTAGATTGGTACATTTTGTTCGTTAAAACTAAAAAATAACTAAAAACTAAATTATACTTACCCAACGGAACATTATTTTTAGAAGCAGAAGTTTTGGATTTGAGACAACTGTTTTACCTACGAGTTGCAATACTTCAGAAGAAGCATATTTTCCTTAGCACTCCGGTACAACATTTATACCCAACACGTTATAAAAATCTTGTGATCATCGTACCTAGACTGGAAAAGACTCTAGGGAAAAGAAGTTTTGTATATCTCGGTCCTAAAATATTTAACGTACTTCAGGCGTAATTTAAAAACCTAAATTCTATAGGTCTTTATAGGTCTAAATTGCAACAGTGGATATTAACTAAGCAACGACAAAAATTTCACGATTTTATTAATTTAAATATAACTAAAATCTAAAATCATTTAACTAAAAAGAACTTACCTGCAATTATCCAATTATTTATCCAATTATTTATGTATACAATAATTATTTATAAAATATTCAATGCTTTAGCTTATTTATCTCTATAATAAATAAAACAAAAAATAGTAAAAAAATGCTATGTAGAGTATATTTCTCAAAGTATTCCATGCACAAGGTTCGCCTTTAGTGGAACCACCATTTATTCACATAGACAATTTTTTTTTGTTAAATATAAGTTAAAATAATTGTAATTCGATTCTTAAAGTAAATAAATTATTATTAATAAATTATTATTATTATTATTATTATTATTATTATTATTATTATTAATATTCGCGCCACTCAAGCCAATATGTTTTTTAGGCTAGTGACGATATACGTTTTCATACTTCCGATGGGCTTGTGTAGAAAAATCTGTTAAAATTTCGATTTTTTTCTTACAAGACTACGCCTTTATTTAAACCCTTAGCTACTTGTGATATTCGAGCCTCTGGTTCTCCGATGCGAAGTTCTATTAATTAATCATTTAGTGAACATGGCTTGCGTAAAAATATGGACAACAGATCTTTTATCTTTTTAATCGTTTTCTAAGCTTGCATGCGAAAATAAGGTACCTAAACATGTTACTATCTGACGGTCTAAACCTGCATTTTCTTATTTTACCTGCTTGCATCAGGCATCCAGGATGGAACTCATGATTAAACTTTGAATATTTTACAAATTTTTTAATTACATTTTTGTAATAATTGCAGTTAATTTTGACAATTTTCTCAGATTTATTGACACGCCCTTGGCAATCAACCTAAACGCTCACCGTTTTAAATTTATACAAAGGTTGTTTCTTACAGGTAAAATGAAGATGAGACTTCTGTTCACCTCAAACCTGATACCAAAAGTACCGTTACAAAAATCAATAACTTTCGAAAATTGCGGAAGTACGACGTTGCGTATACAATTTCATAAGCAGCAAAAATTCAGAACATTTCGAGACATAATTCCCCACGTCAGGATATCGACGCCGTTTTACTTCAACAAGGACGAAATTATTTTGTTACCCCGACAAAAAATTGACCTACCTATTTGGTTTAAAACTCCTAAAACTGGACATTTTATAGAGAGTTGGGAGATGACTACATCGCCTAAGTTGTGGCCAGACATATTCATTTTTACGATTAGTCTACAAGGTACTCGTATGTATATAATCCAATCAAGAATGCATTTTCTTATACTAAACACCTTATGTATTAATATTAATTTTATTTTAAGGTATCGTTTATAGAGAAGACTGTTATCTCATTGCAAAAGGCATTGAATCAATGCTAGAATCTAGAATCAGGTATACATTGGTCAAAGAGATCATTAAAGATATCATAGACACGACCAAATTCGAACAAAGCCAACTATACACCTACATGTATACCGAAAAGGACTTATTCGAATCGATAAACATGGAAAAATGGGGATCGGCAAACAGGCCCAAATATCTGTACGATAAGGACATCGTCACGCAGCTCAAAAAGTTATACTACACCGTTAGATCTAACGATGACCCTCTTCATTGGAATTATTCCATTACAACTCTAAAAGAAGCTACCAGAAAAAGAGACGTTTTGGATTTTATCGATAATCTTTACAAGGAATGTATGAAAGTTAAAGATAGAGCCGAAGTTTTGAGAGAGATGTATGATGTACCGAATACACAGCAAAAACCAGGTGATGGTGAAAAAAGTGCTGTGGAAGTTAGAAGCGTAGGTAATTTATTTATTAAACTTAAAAAGACGATGTTTTTTTAACCTGTGAGCTGCTTCTACTTGTCGACTGTTGCTGTGAGGATAAAAAAGTTTATTATCTTAGATAGTTATTTAAAATAAAAATTTTCCAGCTCGTCAACCTGTAGGAGCTGAAAGCAAAACTCAAGCCGCCAGTCACCTTTCGTCCGATCACAAAATATCGTATGCCCGCTATTACGAATTAAACACGTTGTTGCAAAAATTGGAACGGGCCGTGATGATTCCAAATAGTCAAAGATCGAAATACTCCGAGGCATTTTTTATATGGAGATTTTATTTGAACAAGATCTCTTACGAATTGGACAACTACAACACCACCACCGTTACTGATGTCGATTATAATAAGATCAGACGAATTGAAGACTTGCCAGAAAGGTTAATAATGATATACCTATCCTATGGGGAATCCTCCTATGAAAAGAAATTATAATAATATCCTAGAACATTTTTGTTCCTTAAAAATTTCTAGGTAGTTAAAATGAAAAAAGAAAGTCAGGTACTTATCTAAACTTTAAAAGGTTTTATTTCTACTTTGATATGTGGCAAAATTGTAAGGTTATTTTTAGACATTAATCCGTTTCTTTCAAGTATTGCACTTGGAAAATCGCGTCCATCCTTTTCTTTCAGTAAAGAGAAAAGGACAGGTATTTCAGAATAATTTGAATCACTCTCGTGAACGTTGTACTTGCCAGTTGAAAGCATTGCTATGGTTTATATTTGCATAGGCATTAATTAGCAGTATTTGGCATTGTTCGATAGACATTTTATACAATTAATTCTAGAAATAATATTAATACATATATTTAACAATATTAAATCAATATGCTCATTTGAGTCTTTTTAAATAAGTCCAGCAACAAAATCATGACTACCCATTTGTTTAGTAATAAAAATAAATATCACGAATAGACATCATCTAGAAGATACTAAAAACTTCCTTGCTTATACCCTTTTTATTTACAATCAAAACAATATTAGCTTTTATTATATTAACAATCTATTTTTCTGACTTTTATTTGCCCTATTCTGTTTTGTTTACCTTTTTCAACTGCTTCTTCTTCTGCTAAACTTTGGTATCTATTTTACCTCCACCTAGTCAGTGAATTATTTGATCCTCAAGTCATCAGCAGGGTTTTACATGTCCTATAGTCAGATACCAATATTTGATTTACAATGGTTTTGGACTTTAAAGTTGGAATAATCTCTTTTCGCCCATTTTGTTACTAGAGCTCTGGACAAACACTTGGAAAGAGCTTCTACGAAACTGATTAGGAACCCTTTTTAGTGTTAATAAAAAACGATTATAGCGGATACTTTTCCTAACCCATCATTATTATACTCATTTTGCTTCTCATAACCTTTTCATATTTTAGGCCTTCTACCTCTACTTAACTATTATATTTGTACTTCACCATTAATTTTCTCCTTCATTGTTAACTTTATCCATCTATTGTTCAACTTTAACCTCAAGTCTCCTTCTATGTTCTATATTGTCTGTCTTTAACTTCAGCTCTACGTACATGTTCACTGCATTACTTTCTCTGTTTGTCTTTTACAAATAAAGAATATTGTGAATGACACGTACATTGTACATCAACTAACCGCATAGAAAAACTAATCTGGATTTTCATGCCTGCGGTGCATGCTGCACTCCTACGGCCCCAACAGAAGTAACCACTGGCCTTGCTGTCACCGAGAAGCCCTGATCTGGGCAGCCACCATAATATCGTAAATAGAATTTACAAGAATACTAAGTAAGATTAATCCTTATTTTACACGTGTGTTTAGTTAAGCCTTAGGTGCATAAACATTCGCACTTATTCCAGCAAAACTTATTTCATGCCACCTGTTGAATATTAAAGTTAGGTTCTTATTAACTATCATTAGTTGCCCTGCACTTTGCGTTCTCATTAAAAGAAGCATTCGACTATTGTGCTCTGGTGCAAACATCGTAACTTTCGGTAGACACTATTCAAATATTTGCTTTCGTTTGGCACCAGTGTTCATTTAACTTCAGATATTTTCATTTTCAATGTAAACAAAAAGTATACTCCTGACATCGTTAATTTTTATTTTTGTGAATACTTTTATGCAAATTAGTCAAGATTTTATGGGGCCAAATAATATAAACCAATAACATGCGCAATCACCAGCAACTTGGGTTGTATTAAACAACAAATCTTATTTAGGTGTTTTATTTCTTTTGTTTTTTTTTTACTCAGCCACTCACGGCTAAAAACCGGGCTAATCTAGATTTAAAATAATCCCTCCTTGTATAACCTTAGCCCTCCCCCACCTTAAGTCGATGCGCAGATTACAGTATTATATGCTTATGATCTGTCCAACAATATTTTTTGTTTTTACATAACCGTACTAGCTGACACCATAGTTTTTCTATATTCAGATCACCCTTCCTAACCCATTTGGGATAACAGGCAATATATTAATAATAAAAATGAGACATCAAATAATAATTAAAAAAAAAACACAAAAACAAATCAAATAAATAATGAAAGCAAAACATATAAACAAAAATCTGAAGGAAACATGAGAAAAAACCATTATAGATATTTAACAGCGGGTTCAAAAAAACATAAAAAAATATTGATGTGATGTTCCAAAGATTTTTAGATAGACTGGACAAGATGGATGAGCGTATTTCAATCGTCTTAGAATTTTTGAATGGAACGAAAATGGACTACTGGCTCACAGATTCGAACAAAATCCCAATCATATAGATTTTTTTATAATCAAGAATATCGCCTCAAGTTATATGCATAGAGAAGAATCATGGAACAAGAATTCAGATCATTTTACCATACTTTCCACATTGAGTGATATTGTAAACAAAAAAAAATATTTACTTAAACTAGTCTACAAAAAAACAGACTGAAGAAGTTTCAAAATCAACCTGGAAGAACTAATTATTCTCTCGATTCCATTAGGAACTGAAGAACAATTAAACCAAGAAGTTGAACTTTTTGTCAAAAATATTTAACAAGCAGTGTAGGAAAACACTCCTGAGATTAAATGTAAAGTGCAAGGTAATAATTATCTAAAAGAATTCAGAAAAACAAAAAATTAGAAGAAAATGGCAACAGTCTAGAGCACCACATGATAAAACGTAAAATACGGCGTAATCAAAATAAGTTGATTGGGGAATACTTAAGTGAATTACCTATCGATAAAAGTACCGATTATTCACTCTGGAAAGCTACCAAAAGATAAAAAAAGCCCTACTATACATAACCTACCAATCAGAAATAGAGATCAAAGCTGAGCCCGAAACAATTTGCAAAAAGCAAACAGATTTGCGGAGCACTTAGAGAGTACTTTTCAACCTAATAATTCTTAAGATCATTAAGACTAGATGGAACTAGCTCAAGAAGAGCCAGTCGTTAAACCTACCTTTCCAATAGAAGTTTATATGGAAATCCAAACAAATATAAATCCGAAAAAAGCCCCTGGATTTGACCTCATTACTGGAGAGATTTTGAAAATGCTTCTACAAAAAGCTATTGTCAAAATTATCAATCTCAGCAATGCGTCCTTTAGACTAAAGTACGTACCAAAGATGTGGAAGGTAGCAGAAGTTATAATGATACCTAAGCGAGGTAAACTTCCCCATAAAGTTACATCATATAGACCTTGTTACCTATTATCTCGAAACTCTATGAAAAATTGCTTCTTTAAGAGATTGAAACCGATAATTTGAGAAAAGAACCTAATACCCTCCCACCAGTTTGGTCTTAGAGAAAAACACATGACCATCGACCAAGTTGATAGAATCACAGGTATGATTGAAAAGTCATCTGAAAAAAAAGTTTGCTCCACCGTCTTTTTGGATGTGGCCTAGGCTTTCGACAAAGTATGGCATGAAGGCCTGATTCAAAAACTGAAAATAATAATAAATGTCTTTATTATTTTTATTTTGAATATACAGAATAATTACATATTAATTCGTTACATTTTATGCAAAATGAGAAATAAAGGGCGAAGTTAAATTCATGTGATGAAATTCACCACTAAATTGCTCTTCCACGTCAATACTCTGAGCTATTCAAATCCATTTATTAGACAGGTATTTCAGAATTAAACAGGAAGAAGCCTATTCCGACCTAAGAGAAATTAAGACAGGAGTACCTCAAGATAGTGTACTAGGACCAGTACTCTACTTGTTTTCCTAATTTTAAGCCCAATACTATCGCAACATTTTCTAATGATACCGCAATCCTTGCAGTTGGAAAAAATCACGAAGACGATAATAGAAAATTGCAAAAATCTATAAAATAGATTAACACCTAGACGAAAAATTGGCGAATAAAATTGAATGAAGGTAAATCTGTCTACATCAACTGCAATAAACAAAATGAATATATATTAGAATATTAGAATGAACGACACTCAGATCCCTTTTGCCAATACAGCAAAATATCTGGGTATGATACTTGATGCTAGACTTAGCTGGAAAGTCCATATTAAAAAGAGCTTGGTATAAAATATAAAACAATGTTTTGGTTGTTAGGAAAAAAATCCACACTATCCACATATAACAAACTGCTTCTTTACAGGCAGATATTGAAACCATTATGGACGAATGGTATCCAGCTTTGAGACTGTGCCAGTAAAAGTAACATCCAAGTTATTCAACGTTTCCAGAAGAAAATATTAAGGAACATCGTCGATGCACTCTGGTACTGCCGCAATACTGATCTTCATAGGGACCTTAAAGTGAAGACTATTTAAAATACAATACAAAAATTTCCATTTGTCACAAAGACTGCTTCAACATGGAAACCTTAAGATTATCGAGCTTCTCAATAATACTAATCTAATAAGAAGACTCAAGAAAACCAAACCTTTTGAGTTAGTTCAGTGTTGTTAGATAAAATCAGTTCATATGCGGCTTAGTGTTATATGTTTATATACTTGAGAAGAGAATCTTAGTTTATGAAAGTTTTCATCCATAGATAAGTTAGATTAGAATAAAATTACTAATTAAACTTAATAATCAGACTTTATTAATTCTAAAAGCTTTAACTTGGGGCATTTATTAAAAAAAATCATTGGACACAAATATGAATATTTTGAATTTAAACAAATTGGTACAGAGCACTTCTTCGTCATTACTTTTCGTCACACAAAGCAACAGCAAGTAAATTAAATATACTGATAGATTTTATTCTTAAAACAGTTTATATATTCTTGTAAAACTCGTAATTATATTATTATAAGGTGTGTATAGATTAACGGGCCGGGCCTGTGCCGGACCCGGGCCAACTACGGGCCCAGGTCCGTCATATTTGTACTGTATCGTCTATCTACCGCGCGATGAAAAGCAACTTTGATCCTATTTGGTGTGGTCCGTGGTGAGC